ACCGGGTTGTTGTTTCCCAAGTGTAGGACCCAGCATTTGGCCATATTAAATCTTATCCCTCTCCCTTGTGGCTCAGAAAGACTTTCTCCCCTGATGTCTCCCATCTTTGATGTTGTAACTGAAAAGCCAAATGGACAAAAGCTTTCCTTTCTATTAACATGTAATAATTCCCATGTGTCAAATGGAATTACGTGTTCGGTTGCCTATTTGTTGTCTTTCCTTCTTCCTCTATGTGCATTGGAAAGAGATGGGCACTGCACAGCAAGTGACCATCTTATGGTCATGGTGTTCTGTTCCCTTGGGCTGGCCTCCCCTTCGAGGGATCACAGTGCAACTGCCTGTGTTGAATTTTGCTTTTGCTCAAGGCATATTGTGCAGATATAATGTTTTTCTTCTGCTTTCTTTACTATGTTGTTAATGGCATCCCTTGATCACTGGATGGGTGTCCTTACGAAGCAACAAAGCAGCTCGCATCTGAGATGTGGTTCTGTGTAGATTTGGAATGTGCTTTGTTTGTGGTTTTGTCAACAGTTGCAAAGAGTTGGTGTTTCTCTGCTGTAAAATAAAGCAGATGATGTGGAGAATAAGGCGACTCCCTCAGAAATGCCTTTTAAAATCTGGGTTGCAGCTGTCCAAGCTGGACTTCATTCCTGGTTTCAGAGAACATTGTGGTGCCCTGAATGCACAGAAAATGAAGGTGTTCTGAGATTTGCTCCAAAACTTTTATTATTGATAACTTTTCAGCTACTGATAAACATGTGAGTCAGTATGCCACAGGAATAAATGCAAAGGCAAATGTGTACGGAACACTACTGTGCATCTGGAGTGTTTCTCACCCCGGTGTTTTGGTTCTCTTTCAGTATGTCAGTGACACAGGCAATGGAGTGGTTGATCGAACACGCAGATGACCCTGCAGTGGATGCTCCGCTTCCAGGTCAGACACCATCAGAAGCCACTGCTGAAGCTGGTGCGTCCTCTGCTGAGGCAGCTGCGGGTCCCAGTTCAGAAGCAAGTGGGGAAGAGGCTAAGGATGAGCTGACAGAAATATTCAAGAAGATCCGGAGGAAAAGAGAGTTTCGTCCAGACCCACGAGTATGTGCTGTTTATCTCACTTTGTAACTGTTAGGGTTGAAAGGGACTGTGCGGGCACCATGGAATCAAAAAACTCCAAACATCCAGTTAATAAATGAAATTGGACATCTGGGTGGGTGTATATTATGCTGGCTTGACAGTATTTTAGTGAAAATCTTTAGGGACTATTTAAATTCAGGTTGCTGAAAGAGCTGTTACCTAATTAATGCATTGCTGTCTGAGATAACAGTATTTAAATTGCTGAGACTGTTACTTCTACACCTGAAGATGAACTGATGGGACTGAAATGAGCTGCCAGCCTTCTGGCATTGCTTCTTATGATTGCTGTCTAGGAAGGAGGGGTTGCAGGACAGGAGTAGGTCCTTTTGCTGTAGAAAAGGACAGAAGAGCATTACTGTATTTAGAAGGCAAGGAAAAGTATCACCAGCAGATTCAAGCCTTGCAACAAATACAGAAGTTAGCCGTTTTTCTGAACACAGTGTTAGCTGAAAATATGTGGTGTTATCACGGTGTAAACTCACCAGGAGGTGCTCTTTAGAATCCAGCACTTAGCTTTTACAAGTAGCTCTTCCTTGTGATTTGGGTCAAAAGCTGCAAATGTATTTGATGACCTGGGTACAATTTCTAAATGACGCAACATTCTCATAACAATATGTGTGCTTGTCTAAATACATAATGCTCACTAGCAATGTAATCCAGGAAGTAAAGTTAAGTGACTAGAACTACAAATGCACATGTCGCTTGGTCTGTCAGTGAGATGTGAACAAGAGCTTTGTGACATGAGAGAAGTTATAAAATAAGGTGTTTCTGTCCTGCTCTTCTCCTTTTCTCCTTTCTACCCCAAGTAGAATGCCTTGCATTCAGTTTTCAGTGTTGAGGATAGAACTACCTTTGCTCTTAAGTTTTACACTTTTGATACAGTGTATTTGAAATCTTTGTAGATAAGATTTAGTGGTCAACGAATGGAAACAGTGGGATATTTTTTTTCCCCACAAAAAGCTCCTGCACAGAAGGTGAATGTGATTTGTTCTCATTACTGTTCTAAATGTTACATTTATTAAGCTGTGCAAATCTGATACAGGCTGTCATTGCCCTGATGGAGATGGGATTTGATGAAAAAGAAGTGGTAGATGCACTCAGAGTAAACAACAACCAGCAAAATGCAGCTGTGAGTACAACGTCATTTCTGTTCCTTTTTGCTGTAATAGCCTGTTCAGCTGATTCTGTTCATCATTGAAGTGGTGATGGGAGATCAAAACATCAAAGCTCAACTGTTACTGGGGATGAAATGAACCCTGTATATTCTGTGCGTCTTTCAAATCAGATACACAACTAGAATACAAAGGTTTTAGACTTGTTAGAGGAACTTGGCACGTGTGAGGTTGAGACCAATCTGATTGGGGTAGAATATGTGGATTTTGAAAATTTCACATATGAGGGAGTTAAGAAACTTTTAAACGAAGTCTGCAAAAGAGATTATGCTGTCATGAGGGAGGAGAATGTACTCCTGATAATTAACTGGTTAAAAGACAGGAATAAATGATCAGCAAGAGATTCAAACAGTGTGGTGTGTACATTACTGTTCTGCAGCAATGCATTCCTAAGTTTATGGAGTCAAAAAACAGGAAGGACTTCAAAGATTGATTAGGCCCCTGCTGGTGGATGGTATGTTAAGGAAAATGATGCAGACACAGCTGACACTCAAGGGATCTTCTCTTCTTAAGCCTCCAGTGCTGGCTACTGTTAGAGGATATTGGGCTGGATGGTACCTCAGGCTGATCCGCTGTAACCGTGTTGATGGGTTTCTTTGAGGCAGTATGTTTGTAGGGTAACACACATCTTCCCTGAGCTTTGAAACATCCCAAGTTGGTATAATTTTACTACCATACCGGCCACTGCTGCTGTTCCCACACCAATAAAGGTGTGGGAGCAACACACAAATTAATACTTATCTGTTGTGGAAATTATAGCTTGGTCTTTAACTGTAAGAGGAAAAAATATTTTTAACATGCTGCATTGTCAAAACTTTTGAGACATTTTCATTCTAATGGAACAAATCATAAAATCTGTTGTGCCTGCTGATGTTTTTCAGTGTGAATGGCTGCTGGGAGACAGAAAGCCTTCTCCAGAGGACTTAGATAAGGGAATTGACACCAACAGCCCTCTCTTCCAAGCCATCTTAGAAAACCCAGTGGTACAGTTAGGGCTAACCAACCCTAAAACTCTACTAGGTAAGTACTGCTTCAGTTCCTGATACGTATAAGCTGTCTCTGTAGTTGCTAGCAAATAAGAGTAGAGATTGGATGATGACAGCACACTTTGTGGGGTAGGTGCAGCTCTGTACCCTTTTCCTCGCTTTCAGCAGCTGTATTGTTTGTTTGCTCCATCCTGCAACTCAGCTAAACCCAGAACAGAACTTGGGGCTGTCCCAGAAACAACACTGATTCCCCAGGCGACTGGATTACACTTGCTGAACTCAGAACTTTCATAGCTGCTGGCTGCAATGCTTTTGTGGATTTAGGAGGCCTTTTGTGTGTTCCCTTTGGCCATGAGGGGGAAAAATCGGGAATGTCTGTCTAGAACTCTGATTATTTCACAGTAAAAACAAGGCTTTTTCCTGCTGTACAGCTTACAGTGTGCTGAGGCCTCACCATTGAGGTGGAGTAACCAAACAAGAAGTCTGAGCTAAGGCCTTGCCTATCAAAGTTGGGATAACAGATGTGAAAATACACTTCCCCCTGTTAGGGTTTCAGCTCTGTAACGAAGTCTGTGCACTCGTGATCAGAAAAGCTGTGAGCACAGCAAGTACCCAGCTGTTGAGCCTGACAGTGAAACATAAATCTGTGACGAATTGGCCTCTCTGACACTGGAGGACAATACAGAATAATGACGTTAGCTCTGTGATGTGTATATAAAAAGTTTTGCATTTGGTCTTTGGCTTCAAATAAGTTTTGAAGCCATGCTTTTAAATAAAGGCTGTATGTGCAGCTCATTCGAGAGAGCTTTTAAAAATACGACTTTCAGTGTAATTAGGAGAGTTTGCAAGCCTTTAAATAATTCAAGAGGTGAACCTTCCCACCCTGATTTCTGAACAAATGATCTCTTCATTTCCACCGAGGGTTCCACACTGCAGCTCAGAATATAAATAGAAATGCCATTATAGGCACTTGTAAAGCTTGGATGAACATCAGAGAATGGATTCGTAATGATACATCTGCGAATTGCTTATGTCACAGATTTTAATAATGGATGCTGCATTTAATTAGATACTCACAGATTGTTGATAAATCTTTAGATTTGAATTCTTGCATCTGTGTAAAAGAATATAGTTAAAGTGTTGAAAGGTGAGATCTGTACTTTTTTCAGGGCTTTTCTGTAGGCATGTTGCTTGACCTTGAGCAAGGTATGAATGATGAGCCTTTCAGAGGTGCTGGGTGCTTGCAGCTCCCACTAATGTCAGCTGGAGCTTTGTACACTAACAGTCCTGGGAAAATAAGGACACTGACCTTGGTGCCAGTCTGCCAGACTCTTACAACACTGACATTTTGGTGACTTCTGAATAGGTCAGATGTGCAACTGCTTTTTTTGTCCTGTTCTGTAATGACTGCTCCAAATGTCCAGTAGTCCAACTCAGTGTCTGTCCAAAGGCTTATAAATTACTGCCTGCACTGTGCTTCTGCCAAATGTGCAGCTCAGCTCTTGCAGTAGCTGTCTGGTTCCTCCAACATAAGTAGGAGAGTGAAAATTAGCACAATTAGAAAAACAAAGCAACAAACCTTATTGTAAAGACAGCTGTGTATAGAAACTAAAAACTGGTTTTTAAATGTTTGGATCACTGTCACTGTTCAGAAATGAGGGTAGCTGTTCTGCAGGGCTTCTATGAAAAGATACGGCTCTGAGATTTGTGGGGCTACATTGTTGCTGGCTCTGCTGCTCATTCCTGGGTAGCCTTTGTCATACCTGTGTTTTATTTCACCAGCTTGGCTTCTCTTTTCAGAGATGTTACGAAAGCATAGCCATAGGGCAACCAAAGTGCAACATAGGACAGCAAAGGTAACAGAGGCAAGGGGGTCACAGTGCTTTCTAGGAACACTGCTGGTTAAGTACCAGGAGGGAAAAGGTACTGGTACAAGAACTTACCATTAAGAAATCCAGGCTGGGATGTGGAAGACCTTTGATCAGAGGAGTGGAGTTGCAGAAGTCTTCCTACGGGAGTACTGGCAGCAAGTGACCCAGGTCTAAGGTGGGCTTTCATGAACGGATGAATTGCAGAGCATGTCTACGCTCCATATCACAGAACATTTGCTAAGGCTTTGGCTCTTCAAATCCATGTCCTTGAGGTCTTGTAAAGGACTATAATCCAGGCTGAGTATTTAATAACTCTGTCTGCAGTGAATTTAATGCTGAGGAAATGGGGAAAGTGTGACAACCTGTCGCGTCCCAGGCTGTGGAGACTTAGGAGTGCAATTGGTAAATGCATGACGTGTGTTCCCACCATTTTTGGGCAGTGCTTGCCCAATGCCTTTGAGTTGCAGCTGTTTCTAACTGTCCTGTTGTTGAAGCACCCCAAACATGGGAGCCTTTGACTAAAGGACTGTGTTGTAATTTCCATCTCTCGACAGCCTTCGAGGATATGCTTGAAAACCCCTTGAACAGCACTCAGTGGATGAACGATCCGGAAACTGGGCCTGTCATGCTACAGATCTCCCGAATCTTCCAGACACTGAACCGCACATAGAGGGGAATGCCAGTCCACTGCTCCACTTCCTCCTGTCCCGCACTTCACCTTCGCCTCAATGGGAGGATGCATGGGTTGTTTGGGGAGGGGGGCGGATGGATGGGGAGGGTGCGAGATCACGTTTGAATGGGTCTCACACGAGAGCTTATGTAGTTATGGCCAACTGAAGTTAATTGCCTTGTGGATTTAGTGTTAGTGGAAGAGGTTTGAAGACTTGTTTATGTTTTCAGGTATTAGGTTTAAAATAAAGTATATAAAAAAATAGGAAAAGGTTTTGTGAAAACAATTCAGAATCTGATTGTTGGAAAGAAATATTATATTGCTTGTTACAAAGGCCTGTGACAGTAGTTTTCTAGCCAGTTTTGCCTAGCATCTGGCTAGTGTTTACAAAAGGTCACTGACCACTAGCGTAGGATATTAATCATCTCCATACAGTATTAATTTATGGCTATATCAAATTATAAAATGCTTTTTAAAATTGATTCTTAGAAGATGTTTTTTTTTAAAGTCCAAATATTGGGAGAGCAAGCACATTTCTATCCAAACTTCTTTATCACACATTATAATTTAAACAAAATAGTTAAGAGACGGAATTATTTTAATAAATAGCATTACTTTTTCCTATTTATTTTCTGCGTTAGTGTTGTTGCAGTCCCACAGTGGTAACACCTGTAGGAGTTTCTCTGCTGGCTACATTAAAGATGCAGTATCTCTTTCACGACAGAACTCACTGCACCAAGACTTGGATTCTGCCCAGCCGTGCTGTGGTTCATGAGTTCGTACTCTGCCATATCCTAGCACAAGGAGCTATATATGTTCACATCGTGGGGTTTGGTTTTTTTCATTGTTATGTGCGCAGTTTTGGAAGGGAGGCTTGGGGTTTCTTACTTGGTTTCAAACTGTTTACAAGAAGCAACTTATTTGCATGGGTTTTTCATTGGTTATCTGTAAAGAAGCAGAGCCACTTAGGTTTTTTTACCTTGTTTAATGTATTGAAAAGCATGCTTAAAATTGCTTTCTTCTTTGAGATAGAAATGTTTTTTCTTGACACTTATTTTTACTTTGGAAATACCAAGAATGTCAGGCTGTGTCTGTCCTTTTGGCAGGAGACTGACTTGAGGTCTCAGACGGGAGTTGTGAGCTTTTGAGAACAGAATTCACTGAATATCCAGCTAGTTTTTATCACTGGGCTCTGCAGGTGTTACTTTTCTAACAGTCTGAACAAAAATTGGTTTTATTTTCAAATAAATCCCTGCCATGTCTTGCATTTTTCAGCCCTTTTTTGGAAAGGCGGGCTAGGCAAGGCCTGCTTCTCCAAAATGCAGCGTAACCAGATGGAGACCCTGTCCTTCAATAGCGCAGAGGTGTCCTGCTGTGAGATCCCGAGTAACTCTGCGGGTCACCTTTTTAACTGTCGGGTTTTGTTGCGCAGTTGGGTTTTGGTTTTTGGTTTTTTTAAACAAAAATGCAACAAGATGCAACCCGAAACCCTGCAACAAGTTTTGGCCTGAACTTGGCATCTAATCTACGCTGTTACGCAGTCAAGGCACTGAAGTTGCCAATTTCTCATAATTAATATGAAGGGTGGGGAAATCAAAACAGCATGAGATTTTATCTTGATTGACTATCCCAGCATTCTTTTTTTTTTGTCACTTGTTATTTCATATTAAGCTTTACCATTTGTGACTGCTGAAATATTGACTTCTACGTTTAGGAAATGCAAGCTTTAGAGATGCTGCTTCTGTTCGGACTGGACAGGAAAACCATTTGCCTGGACTCTTGACAGTGTGACATTAAATTGTAACCTTGTCCCGTAACTGTAAAAGCTGGGAACCTGATCCTGCACCCTAGTGAGGTGTAACTGTAACCGAATGTTGTAGTGTTATGAAAGGTTTTAATTACTTTGTCTATTTTTTTTTACTCCCTGAAGCTTTTTGCCTGTATTACTACCAGGAGACACTATTACTTGAAGCTCTTAGTGTTAGAGGCACATGACCTTCTCTACCAATTGGAATTCTTGTAAATGAGTATTTAATGAGCCTTTTTGGAAGACAAAGCTGGGAAAAACTACCCTGTAGTTTTGTAGGGGTTTTTTAGCTTCTGAATGAATAAGGACGGGCTCGGACTTAAAGAACAGACACTCCGGTAGCAGTCTTGGTCTTTGGAGAATGTAAAAGCTTGTTGAAAAGCTGCTTTTGATTCTTGGTAATACATGATCAGATTCTGGAGTGGCCGAAGAGTTTCCAGATGGACCAGACAAGGATCGTCTGTCAATTCTGGAGTCATCTAAAAGTTTGGCCTCTGATTTGCCAGCAGAATTTAGGGGAGCAGCCACATGGCAAGAGAGCAATGCACCTTGCTTGGGTGGAGCTGCCCCCAGGACCCTGTAGCTGCCACCAGGGCAATGTGGAGGATGAACTTGAGCCAACTCCCCAGCTTTTGGGGGGCTGAAGCGAGGACGTTCCTGTCTGACCTGCTTCGGAGGAGCAGAGTGGCTCATTTCTAAGGGTGAAGGCTCTGCTGCTTGTGTATCTCTGCATCAGCCCCACAGCAACGGGATCAGAGCGTGATACTGCCAGGACCTGCTGGTGAACTGTGTGTGTTTGATCAGGGTGATAAAGGTTACCAGAGCTGCCTCCCTGGGTACGGCAGGGCAGAAACGGTGCTGCT